TTCACGCATAAGCTTACTGGATTTGTCTTCTAGAGCACATCAGACCAGAGGTGTCAAACTCACCAGCTGTATGACGCCAGCAAAACTCCCAAGTACAGCCTAGACCAGATTAAAATGTAATTGTGAAATATTTAACAAAATAAGTAAAAATACAGTAAAACAGGTAATGTTAATCTGCGCTTTTCTAAGTCAATATGTGGTCTGCAGGGATGCACTTCTATTTTAATTTGATATCACTGCATTAGAACTTTATCTGATGCACAAATTCCCTATACTGGTCTACCATTATTTATAATCAGGATGGTTTAATATGTTTTCCTCATGGGCTTTTTTGCAGTAGATTTCCAAGAGCTATAACTACTTGAAATGTAGCCTGTAAGCTCTTTGAAGGCAGGGACTGTTTCATTTTTATCTTTATATTTCTAACTTCTAGCTATACCTTGTACATAGTGTGAACTTAGAAAACCTTTTTTGAATTGAATTGATAAGAGAACACATGAGGAAGTGAGTACACGTTGGACACTGCAGGTTAATAAAATCACATAAACCCAAACTCTTGCTACAGGGACTGCTTAAAACTTAAATGTGTATATATTTTTCTAATATAACATAAAGTTCCCAGAAACAGATCTGGGATGTTTAGGGTGCGAAATGAGGCATTCTCATATGCCTAAGGACCAGCTTTACTGCCAATGTTACCCCTTCCTAATCCTTTAAGTTACCACAACTGGTCTGAAAACTTGTTTATTTTCATTTCATTTCTATTGGAAAGGCAAGGAGATTACAAGGTTTGAGCACACCACCTGCTGGTCAAGGGGAAAGAAAGTCTACTCCATAGCTCCTTGCTATGCTATGCTGGAATGGAAAGAATACTTGCTTTGGAGTCAGAGAACTAGGTGCTAAAGTGCCTCTGCTGATTACCACCTATGTGACGGTGGTAAAGTCACTTCACCTTTTCTGACCTCAGCCTTTTCAAATATAAAATAAAAGGGTTGGATTAGAAAGCCTCTGAGGTTCCTCTCAGCTCTAGATCTGAGACCCCCCCCCATTCCAAGTGAGCAGAAGCAGTGCTAGTTTTGATTAAATGGCTTCCAGATATAAAAAAAACAAGCACTATACCAACAGCATGGGAGACTTGCAAAGCCGCCCCTGGCCTGATGTTATTCCACAGGGACCCACAAAAGCCCTTCATTATATAGGATAATGTAGAAAAATGACCCCTTTGGAACCATTCACAAACCTGACAACTCAGTCACATTAGTGATTAATGACTGCAAGCTAGATTATGAGCTCCATGAGGGCAAAAACTTTGTCTTATCCATTCTTTCTGTCTTGAACACAACCTAATACACAGCATACGTTCAATAAAACATTTGCTGAATTTGGATGAAGAGTGAATGGTGTTTGGGATCATATATGTGTCTAAATATCTGTGTGTCAACTTATGAGGCAAAAACTCTGTATCTTTCTATACATTAAACATAACTTAATTACCACCTCATATGGTGTTACTTGTTGGTAGCAATAATAAATACTCTGGTGAAGTTCAAATCCTAGTGTGCATTTACTACTCGTATGACTTTTGGTAACTCACTTAACATCTCTGAACCTTGGTTGAATCATCTGGCAAGTGAGAATAATGCTAATACTACTTCTTTTACAGGGTTAGTGCAAAGACCAAATGAGATAATGCATGCATAATATTTTGTAAACTTTGAAGAGCTTTGTTAGTCATCATTATGAAATAAAATTATTTTATAATATAATTTTGTAACACAATATATAATAACAGCAAGAGCAACAGGAACAACTTATTTCTTATCACATGCAAAGTAGCAGAATCACTATTCACTTCACAATATGCCTGGACAGATAAGCAGATTCTAAGGAGTCTGAGATGTTACCATCAAATTTCCCATTTGAATGAGGGAAAGATAGTTATATTTCACATATAAATGTAAATGTTCTTTTTATTTTGGATTTATGTTTAATTCTTTATTATTCATATAGAAAAATTGTTAGATTATTTTCAGATAGAATTAATGTAACAAAAGCAGTGTTTCTGAAATTACAATTTCTCTAACAGCTTACAATTTTAAAAATTGATGACACATTTCATAAAAGTCTACATTTATTGCTATTCCTGCTCATCAAAATATCTGTTTTTATTTTTTTTTTAATTTAGATTAAGACGATACTTTTTCATTAAAACGTGCCTGTCAATTTCCAGAAAGTACTGAGACTTCAGAAATATGATTACTCATATGCCTTTATTTAAAAATTTTAATTCCCAATTTAGGAAAATACATCCACAATTAAATGTTCTTAAAAATCTGTTACCACATTAAACTATTTCAAAAATAGTTTGAGCATATTTGTGAATCCCTGCAACATACAAAGTTAAAATGTGTAGGTTTAAAATCAATACAACCTGACTTACTAGCATAACACACTGTAAAATAATAACTCCAGGGTCTAGTTTGCTTAGTACTCTAATATTAATCTTCCAGCCCTAAATCTATTATCCATATGTCAGTATCAAAGCTTAGAAAAAAAATTAGACTCTTTCCCTCCCTTCTCTTCCTCCTCTATAGTACCTCTCAGATACCATATACAACACTGAGAAATATTTTGAAATACCAAGTAATGACTGCTATTATTATTAGGAACATATATATCGCTGATGACCTCCAGTGTCTGTATTCTAACTATACTGTTCTGTACTAGGGGTGTGTGTGTGTGTGTGTGTGTGTGTGTGTGTGTGTGTGTGCGTGCACGCGCATACATACACACACACACACACACACACACACAGATGTATGTTATTTTCCTGCTTTGGCTTCTTAAAATGTGAAAAAACAAAGTAAGGAGGCATTAAAAACGCAATGTTCATTAAAATTAATGCCAGATCAGAAGAATGCGCAAAATTTTCCATTTACTAATATGATCCTTCTACCTATGTAGTACTACTAAATATTAATATGTAATATAACTTTTATTATTATCATAGAATCCTAGTAATAAATTACATGAAAATTGCACTGTTACATGTTTTAGCAGCTCTGTCATTTTTAATATAATTTCTGTTAATCTAGCAGAAATCATCGGTTATACTATAAAGCCACCCACCCCTGCATAAGCACACAACTGTTAAAATGTAAATTGCCTAACTATTTTTAGCTGCTGCTGAAAAAAAAAAAGCTGTCCTCGGGAATAATGATTTGAGGTATTGTGTTCATTTTGTTTATCAAGCAGCTATTCAGCCTCTAGTGGGGCCCAAGTGCTTAGGCAAGCAAAAGCTTTTTAAGAATGCCTGCAGCTGCAATCCAGCCTTCCAGGTAGGCTGCAGGTTCAGAGCACAGCTGCCCCAGGCTGCATCAACTTGGATCCATCTGGAACCGAGTTTCAAAGAGGATTTCAAATTCAAGTTTTTGGGCACTGGACAAAGGATGGTAGTGGTGAGGTGAATGGAACCCAATAACTTAAAAAAAAAAGATACCATCTCGACTTGGGCCTTAATACATAATAAAAAGATCAGACCTATTTTGCTCTTTCTATGGGACTACTTCCTAAGCCGGATGTTGTATTCAGTTTATACCTCGATGAGTTATGACTCATCCAGCAGCACCTGCGCCCATGTGTTAAGTACTGCCAAATAAAAAGCCCACCATCCATTTACACAACAAAGAGATGTGCCCCCACAAGGCGACAGTGCCTCAAATCTACCCCCTCCCCATTTGTTCTAAGCAAGGAGGGGTGGGAAAATCTTTCTTCATTACCCAAGAGATTTTTAAACCTTACATGGTTTTATAATGTGGATTCATTTATAAACAATTTTGTTCCTTTAAAGAATAAAGCATATTTAATAGCACAAACACCCTTATAGCATAAGATTATCACAGCCATTAATGATTTTTCCACCAAACCTTTCCAACCTTTTTCATCAAAGCCCTAAATTCTCAAAGGATACATTTTTGAGCAAAGAGGGATCAACAAACTAGTTGCTTGAAAGCTTTCCTGATGCTAGGCTGAAGTTAGGAAAGGCTTAATGAAGGCTTTAAAATCCACTAGGGCTTCACAATGAACATCTGACTTGGTGATTTATGCATATTAATAACCTCAGTCCTACAGAGGCAAGCTGAGCCGAACATGTCCTCCGAATCTTAATGTCTTCAGCTCCATTGGGATTATTACAAATGTAAATTTCTAAGATTCTCAGCTATTAATCTCTGTCTGTCCTCCTGTTCAGCAACATAATGACTAATTAAACATCAAAAGACCTGTACAGGAGATCTTCTTTGACAGCTACCGGTCTAGCCTTCTTCCCAAGAGGCAAATTCAAATGACAGGGACACGGGGTAAGAGCATATGAGAGAGCTACAAATCATGGCACTGAAAGCTAAAAACTAAACATTAGATGTGGATGCAGACCTAACAAACCTTCTCAATGATTCAGTTAGGCTATTTACAATCACTAGACAAAGCATTCCTAACAACAACAACTTAACTTATTCTCCCAAGAAGTAATCATTGAACCCTGGAACACAATCTGTTACCATCAAATTAAAACACAGGTACTTACAGAAGAAGGCAAACCAGGGGGCACCTTTCTGACTTTCTTGGCCTGCAAAGGATCTGTATGCAGAAGAAAACACACTTCATCAGCATATTATATCAGACATGGAGAGAGACAGCCAATGTTTAGCTCTACAACAAAGCAACACAAGATTCTTTATGGCGCATGTCTTGTTTCCCAACTTTTTTTTTTCCCTCCTGGCTATTCATTTAGCCAACTGTTCCCTTCTTGCTGGCTCTAAATAGGGCAATGTGAGGTGCACCCTGATTTAAAGTGGTGCCACGTGGGATTGCTACAAATCTCGTGGGCATGCATGGAGCCTCAGAAAAAGAATACTATAAATAAATGTGTGCACCAAAGGCATATGATGCAACAGGTTAAGAATGAAACTAAGGGCCATGTCCTTGTGTATTTGGTAGGAACTCAAGAACTGTAGTACCAGTAGAAAAAAGGACAGGACCAAGTGTTATGCTCCTCTGTATCTCCAATAGCAGGTAACTGACAGTTTTTTCCACATAACAGGTATTCAATAAATATTTCTTCTTGTCAATAATGGCAAATTTGTTAATTAAAAAAAAATGTCCTGGGTTCTGGGAGGAGTCGAATTCACATGTGCATTCATGCTACATAAAAACCAGACTTCAGGTGCTTCTTAAGTTAAGTATTCCTAACCTGATCTTCATGGACTAGTCTATGGATAGATTTTAGGGGCTCTGTGAACTTGATGGGGAAGAGAGAGAGAGAGAGAGAGAGAGAGAGAGAGAGAGAGAGAGAGAGAGAGAGAGAGAGAGAGGGGTACGTGTGTGTGTATCTTTATTTACAATAGCCTCTAACTGAAATTTAGCATTTCCTTCAATTATTTAAAAACCTTATTCTGAAAAGGGGGGTCCATTAGCTTCATCAAAAGGGTCCATGACACAAAAAAGGTTAATACCTCTGGGTTTAAGGGGTAGATGTATGCATTGTAAAGGAATACAAACAATGAATATTTACAATGTATTCTTGGCTTTTAGGTTAAATGGAAATATTGCCATATATTTTTGTCTTTTCCTGCATTATAGCTAATGAATGGAAATTGACAACTGCCTCAAATAGATTATTATTTCAGTCAAATTCATGATGTAGCAGGTAAGGAGACAGAGCCAGTGTTCAAATTAAATATACAAAAGGAAATATATGATAAATTAAAAGTTAAGCCTATGTTAGGAATACTGAGTTTTCATATTTAAAAACAACATTTAAGAAATCAAAAATTAGTGCTATCCTGATATTGCGTATGATATTCATATGACAGAAGAAAGATAGCTAGATTGATACCTCAGAATATTGGTTATAGCATATAGGAGAGTTTATGGTAAGCAAAAAACATATGAACAAAACCCTTAAAGAGTGTGGATTCAAAACTGCAATAGTATATGTTACACATTTTGGCATTAGATGTTTATAGTTTATAGTTAATTCAAAGAAAAAAGCTTTATTTTAAATAAAAATTGAAATAACATTTCTGAAGGACAAAAATAACTTTATCAATGTGAATAAAAATAAGTATTTTCACATGCCTACTCCTCCAGATATCCTATAAATGGCATTTCTCTCTTTTTTAGATCTACCTCTAATACCTCTAGCATTTAAAACCCAAGGCTCCCATTCTCTCTTTTACAATATGGGTAAAAAACAATAAGCATATTCTTTCAAATCCTGTTAATCAAAACAAGGCCCAACTTCAAATTTTTCAAAGGAACTCACTATTAGGAGGAGACATCACACATGACAAAACTCTCTAAGGGACAATGTTTGATGTTTTCAAAAATGGGAATTATGGAATCACCTTCATAAACAAGCATGGCATTTTTCTATGCCATAAATGGCACAGTATAACAATAAGACATTTAGGTTTGTGTTGGGAATTCTCTTCAATGAATTAACCTTCCCAAGAGTCTGAAAAGCTTTAAAAAAAAATCAGCTTTTCAAGTAGTGTATAGAAATTTTAAAACCAAGAAGGAAAAAAAAACACCCTTCATTAGCATCTCCGTCCATTCCCCAAGAGGCAGCCTGTATTTCCTTAAAACAGAATGTGCCAAAGATAAACAACATCTGGCACACTCTATATTTCTGAAACTTAAAGGCAAAATCTTTGTCCTTTGTGGGGTTTCACTAGAACTCAATGTTCCCAACTCCTCACAACCAAGAGAGTGTCCTCTGAGCAAAAGCCCCACTACTAAGAATGTCAACTAGATACTGCTACTATTCAGGCTGGAGTCTATCACTGCAATTCCAGGGAGGAAGACGTGCTATACAGTTCAAGTCAGTTCACCCTTGACATGCTAAGAAACAACTATTGAGTCTGGATTCTTCACTCAGCTACCTGCAATTCAACTTCTGTGTGAAGAACTTTCTGTTTTTATTTTTTTCTGTTTTCTGTTTCTGTTCATCCTCAGCTGTCACTGGTTAATTTTAATATTTGTATTTGATCTGTAACCAAGGATCTGAATGCGCTGTCATGATTTGCCTAAAAATTCTGGGCAAAATTGCTATAAGTTAAGGGATGTTTTACAGAGACTTCACTTTCCAAGACATTTAAACATCTGTTTGAGTGAAGACATTATTTCATTTTTATCTTTGTATGTTATAGTGCCTGGCACATTTCCTGGCACATAGTAGGCACTTAAAAATGATTGTTGAATTGATTTGAATAATAAAGATTCAAGGTAGTGAAAGTGCTGTTGAGGTTCAAGCTATATACAGTGAAGAATGTCACTTCTCTGCCCAGTGAACGGCACATACTGTGAAAAGTCTATTTCTGGACAGTAAGAACATCTTACTTAAGACCCTTAGAAAGGGAGCATGGGCAGTCAAGAAGATCTTGGTTCATGTCCTGCTTCTGACACCCACTAACTCTGTGACATGATGCCTGTGTGAACAAATGCCTTAATTTTCTTCATTAACCTCACCCCTTTGCATCAGTAACTCTCTCCAACTCTAAGTCAAAGATAAATTTCTCATCCGCATTATCAAAGAAGTCTAGAGTTCCATACATCAGCGAAATCACACGTCCTTATGAAAACAAAACAGCGTCTTCAGGGTCTTCCTGGCTTTAGGCTTTAATTGATAGGAGACTGTAGACTCCTAAGAACTCTTCCTCCTTCCTAATTATTATCATAGGTCACTGAGTTCAGAAACGAAATTCCTAATGACATCCCATTGGTTCAGATAACCCAAGAATACTGAGAATGGGGTACTGCTGAGACTGGGCCCTCTGTTCTGACCATGAAGATCCTCATTTATATGTAGGAGAAAGCCTTAACAAAAGTGGGTTTTGTCTGCAAAGCTCTCAATTATTAGCTGGCGTTTGTATAGTACTTCAAATTTTGCAAACTCTTCACAACTACTACCTCATTTTATCCTCACAACAACCCTGAGAGGTAGGTGCTATTATTATCAACATTTTATAGATGAGAAAACTTAGATAGACAGGAGGGTCAAACAGTTAGTAAGTGTTTGAGGTGGGTCCTGACTCCAGGACAAGTGCTCTAGACACCTAGTTGTCTGCAATTAATACTGAGGACAAAATTTAATATCTGGATATATTTTCTTTCTTTTGGATAGGTAACTTTGATTTGTGGAGGATTATTCTTAACATGATCATGAATAACAATTTATCTACCAGAAAAATTTGGTTTTCTCATGAGAGTAGTGCTCAGAAATGGAGAATGGGGCTTAAAAACAGAATGCAGAACCCTGAATTGACAGCAAAAATAAGTCACGGGAATGCAATCCATTGAAGTTCCTTTCCTGGCTTATGAGTCTGACTGGTTTGATTTGTTTATAGGTCTACTAGATATTTTAGAGGGGGGGAAAAAAGAAAAGAAAAGCCCTCTGGGGCAGAGAAATAATCTGCAAAAGTCCTTTGCTGAAATGAATTTTAAAATACCTGAACTAATGAACTAATGTTTATTGAGTACAACTTTGTATAGAGTACCATAACTACTGATACACTGTAATATACTGAAGGGAGATAAAAGTAAACACACCAAGTATTAAAAGTTAACTCTATAAAGAAAGCAGAAGTATTTGTTAATTAAATCAACAAGTATTCATTAAGTACTTGCTTACTTGGTGTTAACACTGCCCTGTCACACGTGAGATTGAAAAAATGGAAGATACAATACCTGGCCACAGTGAACTTTCAAAGAATAATAGCTCATATTAATGTGAGCACTTTATGCAAAGTGATTTATAATTTATGGGCTGAAACAACAAATAAGACCGATTCCTACACTATTTAAAATTTTCAAATGTGATCTTTTCATTGCAAGGGGACATTGATGGTCAAGTTAAATTTTGTTCTTCAGTTTTCTTGGTTAAGTCAACAATGTCACTGAATTGTTTAAATATCAAAGAGAGAACTTTTAAAGAGAGATAAATTTTAAGTTTTATAATCTAAAACTTTCATAAAAATAAATCACATTAAATGCAGAAGAATCAGGATCATGTTTGTGCTCTACTTATTAATGATGGAATGGATTACATTTTTAAGCAAACAGATTAATCTCCAACTTCAATATAATTCCTCAAACACCAAACTCCATAGGCCTAATGACTCTTCAGTCTCCTCTAAGCAGGAACACCATGATATTTTTGGGCAAGGGAAGAAATTAAACAAAACTCAGACTTGAAGTTTCACCTAGGGACAGTGCATATATTTACCAAGTGCCGAAGAGTCATGCAGTGGTCTTCTTCGAGAACTGGTGGCAGAAAAGGAATAATATGGTGTCCCGGCTTTTCCTGACGATGATAACTGTGCTGGGCTCCCAAGTCCTATATCTTGTCGTAGGAGACTGGACTGTAAAAAAAAAAAAAAAGGCAAAGGAAACCTAGTCACCTTTCTAAAATAATAAAGCTCTTATGATACCACTGACTCTCAAGTACCCAAGGGCTGAAAATTATTTGTTGTTTCTTTGTCCCTCTTACCACCTGCTTCTTGGTCACTGCATTAGCCTCTCCACCAGAGAGATAAGAAATAAAATAAGGAGCAAGGTGACACTGTCAAGTATGACATTTTGTCAGCTGTTCTGGCAAAGAATCATAGGGTCACAGATTCCAAAGTCAATGCTCTTTCCACTACTACCCACTGCTTGGAAGAAAAAAGCAAACTGTTTAAAGAAACTGAGAAAGATAATATTTTCAGATCATCTGAGACTCTAATGATTATGTTTGGTTTTCTGTGCACTAAAAATGAACCCTTCACTTTGCTTTTAATTTTTTTCCCTAAATCATTTTGAATCAGTCTGTCTTAAAGAAAGTTTAAGAGAAAGCTTCTATGCTATTAGCACTGGGAAAAATGTAAACTTCATTATGATAGGAGGGATTATGTCATGCTATGGTCAACCAAAGACATTTCAAAGTCTAAGTGAGTTTAAAGAACAGAAATGAAGCAGGGACTAGCTAAAACTATTGTTCTTTACAAAAAAGTGCTAATTACTACCTTCATGAT